CCAAAGCGAAAACTGACTCCTGGTGAGAAGTTCGGTGAGGTGCTCGAATCGCATTTCCAGACGTCAGACAAGGTACTCTCTTAAGGTATCCGCTGCTTTGGAAATGCAAAGAAGGACGATCTCAGAGTACTGAAGTAAAAGTCCGGACGCCTTATTACCAAGGAAGAGCGTACACTTTGGCGATAGCGAGAATACTTCGAGGAACTTCTGAACCAGGCGCGGGCTCAGGAAGATTCACAGCAAACAAGCAATATTATCCCGTCAGTAAAGGAGGTTACAAAATCCATAAAAAGTGTAGAACGTGGAAGGACTCGGACCGGGAATCGGTGTAATCTGCCGTAAAATGCGCGCATAAAGCTTTAGACAAACAACGTACATTGTAGCTAACAGGTGTCCGCCAAACTACTGTGAGTAAGTGGACGACGCCGGTAGACTTAATATTACTAGAGTGGTGGCACCCTCGACTGACCTCGTACCTTGTCACTCTTGCGTTTTGTCACTTCCTCCGTATCTGCCTCCATGACCATTTTTTCTCGCCCGTTCGTTTCCTTCCCGATGATACGCTTGCCTCCCATCATATGGCACAGTTCTTTTGTACGCTGATCCGCAACGGTTAAACTTCTTCCGAAGAACATCTACTACTTTGAAAAAGAATTGGATGATATGCAAATAAGTTTGCCAAATATGGAAACAAAGCATAATTGATGGGTAGTCACCTAAAGGAGAGAAAAGTAAAGTAAGAGGCCACATGCGCTCCATCGATGCAGTGCTTTCATCATTTCTGTCTTATCCTTTTCCTCCTACCTCGTTTTTCGTTTCTCCACTTCTTTCTACTCGTGGTGAAGAACTTCTATTGTTTTTTCTCCGTAAAGCAACGAAACATGTTCTCACGACGCGAAGCCTGTCATCTGTTCGTCATTCGTCTTAAAAAGAGATGCATGGCACGTTCGTGAGCAACAACTCTTTGATATGCAAATAAGTCAGCTGGTCTATGCGAGGTGAAAAAAACTAAAATGGCTCAGGCGAATTTATTGTGACGTTTGCATTCACCCTGCTGAATTGAATCCTGAGAAAGGAATTTATACATTGAGCTTGATGTCTTACTGTAAAGAATTGAAACCGAAATTTATCACACGTTTCGAGCATAGCAGAATGCCGCGTCTTGACCAATCCCAAGTGATCTTTCCGGGATTTTGTGGCTTCTGATGAGTCAGCTGCTCAATCTCATTACTCACTGTTAACAGCAGCAAATTCCGTAGTTGCTTTACTATCGTAAAGGTGGTATAAAGTTCTTAAGGCATATGACATGAAGGAAAGTGAAATTTCCTTATTTTTGTCGTTGGTGCGCCTCGGACGCAAGTCGACGCTGATCCGGTGTTCTGTTTCAAGCTTTCCTCCCTCCACCGCTGACCTGGCTAGTAATTTGGCCATCGGACCACGCCGGCTTGTTCTTGAACGACGTTGGTGGCCCAACGGGTGGAACCTAATTTTTAATTCTTCATGGCCACCGGTTGTACCTCAGGTGAGCCACATAACCGCCACGTCTCTTGGAGCCGTGGAAGGCAGAAATCACGCTTGTCAATCCTGTGCACCGACCAGTTTGTGCACTCACACATTCTTCACTCCATCGACGTTTGTGTGAGCATCATTTGGTCTCCTTAGCTTTCGTAGCAGACCAAATTAAGCGCCATAAATCATAACTGGTAGAACTGGCGAATAGAACGAGTTCTTTCTTCGCCCACATGTCGAATAGCGATGCTTAATGCGGTTAAAGCTGACCCATCCTCGTTCCTTCTTCTATTGATTTTCCGTTTAACGAGTTCATGCGGGCTACCTGATGGTCAAGGTCTACAGAGTTGGTATAACTTTTTATTCTCTCGCCATTTCCACAAAGGCCTGCCTTATTGGACACAAACGGCAAAAATTCCTGCTTCTCGTCACCGTTGGTTTTGGTAACCGATCGTTTCGAGATTCGTGGTAACTAAGAAGTAGTGGCTAAGATGGCATTGTGCTGCCTCGTCCTTTGTTCACGTAAAGCACTCTACAACTGTAACGCAAAAAATTGCGAAGTTACTTTCTTATACGTGACGTTACATTGGTGCCACGTTTCGTATCGAAGGTTATTAGTTAATAATAAGTGATGCGATGCATTATTATAGACCCTTATGTCAAGATCGTGTTGCTTCAAAACGGAAAACGACTGAAGAAGAAAAAAACGACCATCAAGAAGTGCACTCTCAATCCGTACTACAATGAGTCGTTTTCTTTCGAGGTTCCATTTGAACAGATTCAGGTATGCAGATAATTTTTACCGCTAGCTGATATTGTTAAAACATGTATAGAAAGTTCAACTGCTACTCACGGTCATGGATTACGACCGCATGGGCTCCAACGAAGCGATTGGGCGCGTGCTGTTGGGCTGCAACGCGAGTGGCGCCGAGCTCCGCCACTGGATGGACATGCTGTCTTCCCCTCGAAGGCCAATAGCGCAGTGGCACACCCTACAGCCGATGGAAGAGAACGGGAGCTGAAGGCAGACCACCTTTCGCCACCCGCATCTGTCGTCCACTTCTTCATGAAGGACGATCGATCCTCTGGTGTACATATCACGTTTCTTCTTCGACCCTACCGTCATGTTATGTACTTGTGCTGGAACGAGTCTGTTCGGTTCCGGTCAACGTCAGAACGGAAGGAAAGGAAAATTACGGACGAGCGGCATTCATTGTCATATGCCATGAAAGGGCGGCGTTTCGGAGGAGGAGGAGGTCATTCTT